AACCGCTGCTCACCACCTGAAACTTTCCTTCTGTTTCACAGGGATCAGTGTCACACTTTTATTTTGAGACCAGAGTCACTGTGATTTTGCTTAAACAGGGGTAAGGAAGAGAAGGACAAACACAGACCCCATCTAGCAGAGCTCGCTTCCCCAGATCTGCATGGTCAAACAGCTTGAGATCAGAGGTCTTGCCTGTAAAAAGGCCACAAAATTTGATAAGAGGAACAAAACATAGCTAAAAAAAAAAATAAATTAAAATAAAACAGAAATAATACGATTTTATGCAGCCTGCAATAAAGCTATAGTCAATGGTACAGTATTGTTCACATGACACTTATTAAGGCTTTGACTACTGGTCTTCTACATGCACATTTTATATACATATAATCTTGTGTGCGTGTGTGTGTATAAATTACTTAATTTTTCTTGTTCAAAGCAAGAAAATATTTTCATGCATTTGCTTCTCCTAATATTCACAACACTTGAACCATATTCTTTTCAAATACTTCTGGAGAGGGATGGGTCTATTTATTATCCATCTGGAAATGTCCTCATCTCCAGGAATGTTGTTTGTGCCTGACAGTGGCGCTGGCCCCATACTTCTCCACAGTCATACACCAAAGAGGAGATGTCACCCCCAAGCCTGACAGTACATAGGTTATGTAAACATAGTAATCCTTGGATTATAAATACTTTATTAAAGCTAACATACCTCAGCTTTTAGTTCATAATTGCCCATGAGTGCCTTAATGAAATATCATTCAGAATAAATGATTTTTTTGTCTCTTTTTTTTTTCTTACCATATCAACAGCTCAATTACAGTGGTTCTCCCAAAAGTACAGTTTTCCCTACTTTCTCCCAAAGACTTGCCAAGCTACCTGTTAATTCTGCAAGTACATGGCTCAGTAGCTTCCATGTACATAAACAAAGGCAACACAGAGTATGTCTGAGCCTTATAGCTCAAACTGCTTAAGTCACCATCTCGCTTGCACCCCTGCCATGAAGTTAAGAGACTGGGCCATGGGCCAGTGAGGAACAGGGAGGAAACAAACCAGCAGAGCTCTCCCGTTTCTAGTCCCAAGCCTGGAGCTTGCACACGTTTGACAGGTTCCAAGAGCTCACCAGAGCTGACCTGTAGCACCGCCTGTGTCCCTCTGCCTCAGGGACACCCTGACTATCTCTGGCCCAGTGTTTCCTTTCTGGCTAGCTGATGTTGCAGAGCACTTCTAGGTTGCAGTGGGGAGCCCTGGGGAGAGCAGTTCAGCTGTGAAAAGGAAAGGCTCACATGGAACAAGTACTAAGGAAGGGAAGCAGCATAAAGAAGGCTGAGAAAGCAAATATGGGTGGTGTGAGGAGGAGAGATCCCTTATTTAAGATAAGGCCTGGACTGCTGCCACAGCCCTCTGAGCTGCCTTGCCTGGTGGTGTAACTGGAGCACATTGTCAGCACCCCAGCTGTTAAGCTTTGCCGCCATTACACAGTCATGTCTTGCATCCCACCACCGCACTTCCCTGTCAGCCACCACCCTTCCCTTGGCCACCACATTAAAGTACTTCCCGTCAACATGTATCATGACAATTACTACAAATCAGGCACTGGGCCCTTCTTGTTCACCATGATCCAAGTAGCTAGCAGCTCTAAAGAGACTGTCCCTGTGCCCCTGCCCACCTTTCAACCCACAATAACCAACACAAATAGATGAGACAGAAGAAGTGACGGAGTCCCAGCCATCTGCTTGTTCACTTATTGCACAGAGTATTTTGGGCTGGTAGGGGAGAGTGGGTGGCCCCGAAGGTCCTTTGAGAAATTCTTACTGGGTGGCTGTCCACACCATCTGCTCCAGAAAATGAGTTCAGACAGCTCATGTGTACAGGATGCTTAGAAAATGTCACCTAGAAAGAGGATATGCAAGAGATGAAGGTTTTTCTCAATTCAATCTCAGTCTTCACTCAGCCCCATGGCAAGCTGTGCAAAATAAAATATTTATGCCCTGTTAGATACAATTAGAAGACAATTTTTGGTCCTGGGTATGTTAATAAGAAAGGGTCATGCTAATAATTTCAGAGGCAAACCTTTGAGACTGGATTTAGTTTTAGTTACAGAAAATACTGTACACTGCTTTTGGTCAGGTGCACAGAAGCTTAAAAAAAAAAAAGACAAAGATCACAATTAAATGTCTCAATCTTCAGACGGGAATGTCTGTGAGGAGCAGTAAAACTACTTTCTCATGTGCAATGCATCCTGAAATTTGGTACTTATGTATCGGGCGTGAAAGCCTTTCTTGTTGATGGTGTCGTCTGTGTGGAATCGAATCATGATGGAATCCCCTGCAGAGTAGATTTCTTCCAGAGGCTGCAGAAGAGTAAAGAAGACAGCACAGAGTGGTCAAGTCTGCAGGCTAAATAACTGTCTGTGCTATGATGCTAGAATTTAAGCTCACAGACTGGTCAGGAAACACAGACCTTGAGCACTCAGTACCTCCTGCCCTGCTCTGATTTCCTGAGCACATTCCCTTGCTCTTTGCATGCTTGCCCTTTATGTTTGAAGACTGATGCCAGCCCACTCTACGATCCCAGTTCTTCCAGTTGTTTTTTGCAGGTCACATTCACAGGACTCCCTGGATGTTCCTGTTACAGTCTTTTGAATTTTCTCTGATTTGCCCTAATTTTTCAGGAAATGACACAATCCAAACTGGGCCCTGTTTGGAAGCTGAGGCCCTCACAGGGTTCATTAGCAGCAAAATTACTTACCCACGTATCTTACACAATAACTCTGGTTATCTCCCCCATTGTTGTGACCTGCTACAACCTCCCTGTGCTTTTCTGCAGGACCCACACTCTCCCAGCCATTCCCCATATGTCAGTGTGCAGGTACGTAGATTACTACCCTGCTGCCCTGAACTTCTTCACACCAAGCTGCTATGTCTTTGTGTATTTTTCAGACCATTTCCTCAGTTTGCAAGGACTTCTCTGACACACCTGCTCCTTGGATGTTTCTCTTTAAACCTTCTCCATTTTATTGCTGAAGTCCTAGAGAAATTAAACATAGAACCTCTGGTTTTAAATACCACACACTATTGCTCACGCTAAGAGAGTCACTCCTCTCAATGGGGACATAGATAACTGTTTAGGAGACAGCACATCACCCTGGAGGCAACAAGCAGCTCTGCAAGTCCCTGCATCCTTCACCTTTGCCATAGCACGGCCACAATGTGACTCATCAACAGCTTGTGAGAGTTGCCCCTCTCCAAAAAGGGTATGAGAGTACCCTTCCTTGCCACCTCCAGTTATACCTATGAAATTCCCACCACCATGGCTTACCCCTGAGCCACAGAAGCGTCCCAGGCGGGGTGCAGTGCTGTCGTAACCATCATAAATCTCCATGTAGTCGTACCCACAGTCGGCCTCCTCCTCGATCTCAAATGTCTGGAATATCAGCTCCACCCCATAACCATCTTCAGCTACAATCACCCATTCACAGTCTGCTTGACCTGGGTAGTTGTTGTCCCCAAACTGAGCATGGGAATACAGTTCCTTAGTTCGTACTTCAGCCTTTAGGAGCCCACCACACTCTGGAGGAAGAGCACAAAACACAGCCTCATCAAAGGCCCTACCTCAC